GAAAGCAACTTTAAGGAGTTAACAGCATTAGCCTAGGATTTATAATAACAGCAAAAGCAATCTTTATCATAGTCATTCAAATTGTGATTGCGTTGCAGAATTTTCATTGTTTTATAAAGGTCTAAATAAGTTGAAGAATTATTGTCTTAGTCAAAATGTTGATGTGACCTACATCACAAAAAGAAGGTGTCACCTTCATAATAAAAGTATTTTTATGCTATGCTTATCAGTCACAGGTTGCCTACAGATTTCAACTATCAGGACAAAGGAAGTGGCTCAAAATACCCTTGCAGTAACTTTGGTTTCTGGCCCATTTTCTGGCCCATCTCTTTTCCTCCACACTTGATCAACCATGCCAAAGATGAACTACACTTTTTCAAGTGATAACCAAAAATGTTCACAAATTATAACTATATCATTCCACTTAAATACTTTAACTTGTCTAGCAAAACAGATTGCCTTCCTTTAGAAACAAACAATGAAATGCTCTCTTTGATCTCTGCTAATTGGTTCTAATATCAACAAGCAAATTAAAAGGCAGCAAAGCAGAATTTCTTCATCAGCCCCTTCATAAGCCATAGTGAGCTTGCCCTGAGATATAAGAGGGATAAATGAGAGGAATGACAATTTTGGCATTCCGTTTACTCTCAGATAATCTAGCCCATCCTTCTCAGTTGACAAGAGACAGAAATAATATCCCTCAAAGTGAGAGTAAATGAGGAGGTCAATCAAATTAAAATGTAGTATATGTATATGTAAAATGCTACCGTGAAATCTTTTTGAAAAATTAATATACACTGAAACCAATGAATAATAGGAATGTAAAACAGGTCCTATCCTGTATGGTGGCATTATTGAGGGTGAGGGGAAACTAGAGATACTGAAGGAGGGTGAATGTAGTCAAATTCTGTATGTACATGTGTGACAATGGAAGAATAAAACTGTTGAAACTGCTTGAATAAAGGGAGAGTGGTGATGAGACTGGCTGAAAGGCAAATATGATTAGGGTATATTTTATTAATATGTGTACATATCAAAAGGAAATGCTCCATAAAAAACCAATTGATGGTAATAAAATGTGGATTAGAAAAAAAAGAAATAACAAAAAAGATGATAAACTCTTCCAGAAACCAGGGTTTGCAGGGTTCATTGGCCCTGGGCCTAATCTAACAATCCATTTTCTATATAATAAAAGGTAAGAAACCTATTACCGATCTGTTATACACCCTGGCAGGTGGTCTACCACAAATGGAATATATCAACCAACCCAGCAGTCCATGTCCCTTCACTCCAGTTTGAAGCACTAGGGGACAGCTGACATGGATATAGTAGTCAGGGTTTAGTATTAAATTCTTTTAAACCAAATAAACTCACACATCTTGATGTATAAGTATAAAGTACTGAAAGAAAAGTTCATTCGTGGTAAGATTCTGACCTTTGATAAAAACAGCCCTGTAATTTTATTTTTTCACATTACATATTGGCTTTTGAGGTGATATAATAAATGAAACTGGGTTAGAATTTACAATCTGTGTTCTTAAATATGGCCTTTAATCTTCTTTCCTATTCAACCTTCATTTAAGGAGCTAGCATATGAAAACCTCCATTTAATGCCATTTCAAGATTATTAAATTATTAGAAAGAAAGAAAACCCCCTCTAGCCTTCAAGAGATGTTATAGAATCTAGTCAGTAAAGGAGATGCTGAAACAAAAGGAAGAAATGAAATCATTTTATGTTATCAAAACCCTTTTTTATCATATAATTTCTTTTCATTTCAAAAATCCACTGCCACAGGGCAAACACCTTTGTGCTAATAAAAGGCTTTAAAAAGTTACACTGAAGGTCAAGAATTATGAAATTTTTCTTCTCCATTATCTTTTCATCATCATAATATGCTTCTTCATTGAAATTCATTGTGAACAGGAAAGAGAATTTGCTGAGAATAATCAAATCTCTTTTCTTATTAGAAATTAGCTTACCTTTGTAATAAAATATTGGCTACAGGAAACTTGAGGGATACATTTTCATGCTGGATACATACTGTTAGTATGTATGTAGTGTCAAAAGAAAAATTTTAATATGGAAATGAATTCTAGCACAAGTATCAGGGCTTTAGGATTCACACTATACTTTTGGTGTTTGATTTTTTCAATAGTATTGTCTTCAAATGAATGAATGATCTTCTATTAGTTGAGGTTTCCTATTTGAACACTATCTGGCACCAATGTAAATTTCTATAGATCATTTTGGGTCAAAACCAACACCAACTTGGTCAACACAAAGAATGGTGTAAGGGGAAGAGAAGGGGAAATTGTATGAAGGTTCTTTCTGGATTACTGAGTTAAGAGTTAGGCCAATAACTTCCTTGCAAAGGTATTCAGGGTTAAAGGTCATTTAAATGATTCTCACATTTAAAAATTAAAAATATCAGTATATGAAAACAATATTGGATGGTTTGCTCTTCTTAGGCAAGCTGAAAAGGAAAATTACAATTTTCCAGGACATTTTATCTTAAATGCTAGTTAACTATCAATAATGAGAATAATGAGATCAAAAGAATTTGAAGATATTGCCTAAAAAGTCTCTGTGCTTCCATTAGGACCACTTTTTTGTTGACTTCTTGCTTCTAACTCTCCTCATTCTCAGCCATGTATTCATAATGGCAGTATATAGCTCAGCTTTGTCATCAGCCATATTAACAACTCAACAACTCTTTAATGAAATTGTTTCAGCAAGAATTTTGTTCATGATTTTCACATTTTACTATTTCAACATGACCCTTACATAAACAGTTTGGAGCAAATACAGTTTGAATTTTCACTTTAACCTGGGGAATTGAGAGTTGTGGATACTGTGATAGAGGTGAACACAGGATAGGTAAGGTCACACAGCTAGTAGTAGGTGGAATCCACCATTGACAAACCTCTTCACTCATCACCATAGTAACTAGCCTTCTCACCAACTCTGTCGCCAGAATTGCCTATAATTTCAATAATTTGGAAAACTAGGACTTATATCCTTATAAACTTATAGTTTTGAAAGAGCATTTAATTTTGTAGTAATCACAATCAGGTTTCTTAGACAAGTTAATCTACTCAATTTCACTCGATTTTCCAAAAGGATGATGATGGTAAGGATGGTGATGCAGCTGTTGAGAATATTAGCAGTAATCACAGTTATTAAGGACCGAGTTGGGTGCATCTCTGAGCTCCTATTTGTTTTCATACAGTGATTCTATATACATACTATCTTCTACAGTAGATAATCATGAAAGACAAGGAAAGAACTATAAAAAATTATGATAGAACAACAGTTCTATTGGAGCAAATTGAGATATACTCAGGACAAGTCAAGGATGCTTTTGTTATAAACGTTAAATGACTATGCCCTTCCCCAAATTCTCAGCCACAGCCTATTCAGTAACTATAAATTAGAGATATGAATATTTATATTGCCAAGCCCTATAAAATTATGCATGTCCTTTAAATAATGCAAGGGTGGGATTTGATTATGATGTGCTTAGAACAGCATGTGATACATAGTCACACATTAGATAACTGTTGAATGGATGATTTAAATGATCTGATGGAATTATCAAGTACATAAAGGAAACATTCAAGATGACAGATTTCCAAATCTGTCAGACCAATAGATAAGTCAGCATCACTTCTTAAATATAGCATTTCACTAACTCTGAATTTTGTTACAAATACACTTCATAGGGAAGTATCATGAACACATCAAAATCCCAATGAAGACATCTGGTACTTACTATCATCCTTAGCTAGAAGAGTTACTTATAATCATTAGTATCATACTGCCTATTCATTTTATAGTATTTTCCAGTACTCCCCAAATACTAGTCAGCCTAACAACCCCACTAAAGATGTACTTTTTTTCATTAAAATTTCATATTGAGAACAAGACTGAATGATCACTACTAGAGCTATTATTAATCACCATATTGTGATGGGAAGTTAATTGCCTGGAGCAATATCCATTTTTTATCAAGCAGCAGAAAAGTCAAGCTTCATCTTTATTTAATTTCCCTTTTGTTCTCCATATTTATAGTAATGACTAATGATGACTGGCATGTGGTAAATATAACTGGTAAAAGATAAAACATTTATTTTCTTGAGGAAAATGAAAAGAATTTAGATATGGCTACTCACATACAATGGAAAATGATTTGGCTTAGGAACTGTGCTGCATTTTCACTTTAATAAGTTATTTTTTTACATTAGCATTTTTTGGGGGTTGGTCGTGGGGCCTGAACTCTGGGCCTGGGCGCTGTCCCTCAGCTCTTCAGCTCAAGGCTAGTGCTCTACCACTTGAGCCACAGCACCACTTCTTGCTTTTTCTGCGTATGTGGTGCTGAGGAATCGAACCCAGGGCCTCATACATGTGAGGCAAGCATTCTACCACTGAGTCACCTTCTCAGCCCCAAACATTAGCATTTTCTATTGTTTCATTTCCCTATATTTTTTATTTGTATCAATTAATCAGACAAGGGGGTTTCATTTGGACATATCAACATATACATACATCTATCATTCTAATAATTTATAAGAATTTCAAGTAATTTCAGCACTAGTATGAAATTACTTCTATTTTAAAACTTAGCTGTATCATATTTATAATTCTGACTTGTGAAACTTGTTGAACCAGACCACCTCCACCTTGCTTAAACACTGCCAACGTATACTGGATTACTGATTAATTATGCCATTCCTTTTCTGTCTAATTCTATAGAAAAAATTTATGTCAAGAAATACTAGTATCTATTTTGGCGTTTGGTCATTAATGTAAAGCCATCCACTATCACCATTTTCCCATCTAACAGGAAGCATACAGCCAAACCAAATCTTCGGGTTATAAAACAAAGCAAAACAATAATCCATATACCAGCTTCTTCCCAATAAAGTACTCAGGGAACAAATCAAATCTAAACACTTGCAATATTTAACGCATGTGACAGAGGAGATGGTTAATGTCTAACCTTTATCCACTGGAGATTTGTCTGTTTGAGCTTATTTTCAAGTTTATCTTGCTCTTCTGGGTTTATGGGAGCACTTACAAGTGCTGTTCCTCCAGTTTCATTTAATTGTTTTAGAATTCCCTGGCGCAGGGGCAACTCTTCCGCCAGTAACTGAAACAGACAAATGCAACAATGTTTAAAATGAATTACAGCACAATCTCAACTACCTTGTCTTCACCTTTATTGATTAGTTTATCAAAATGAAGCAATTTGACCAAGGCCCAGTGGTACATCAAATATCAAATATCTCTGCAGAGCACAGAACTGATGGATTGAAACACCCACGGTCGAGTAGATAAACCTTCCTACACATGACGCGATTATTGTATCCCTCAGAGAAAAATGTTAGCTACCATTAGGAGCGCTAAAGCAACACCTGAAGCCTAGCTGTTTGGAGAAAAACATGATAGGAAATAGAACAATTTGAATAAATCTGTCATCCCCTCAAGTACAAGAGGGGATGTCACTGAGTGAGATGCTGTACTTTCCATTTACACAGTGACAAGCACTGGACAAAGGTCTTCAGTTTAACCTAAGTATAACTCCATATTATAATCACTATTAGAGGCACTACCTATTATCTTTATTTAATACAGAAAGAAACTAAGACAGCTACATTGCGTAAAACATGTGAGCAACAAACATAACCCTGATTCAAACTTGATATTTTCATTCTGGAATCCTTATGTTTAACCTTTTTTTTTTTTAAATGTCTGTACTAGGTCTTGAACTCAGGGCCTCATGCTTTTGTTTGGATTTTTAGCTCAAGGATGGCACTTTACCACTTGAGCTACTCTTCTACTTCTGGGCTTTTGCATGATAAATGACTCACAGATTTATCTGCCTTGGCTGGCTTTAAAACCTGATATTCAGAGCCCAGCCTCTTGAGTAGCTATGATTACAGGTGTGAGCGACTGGAGCTGGCTATTTTTGACTTTCTCATCCCTGAATTTCTTTTCAGTTAGCATCAAATGTTTATGCTCTCTTTTCAGATATACAAAACCACTATGGTTTTACCATATTTTTTTATTATGAAAATACCATACAGAGGAGTTACAATTACATGGGCAAGATAATGCCCATGTAATCCTCCTTTGTTTCCCTTTTCTATCCCTTCCCATCTCCCCTCCCCCACCTATATCCCCCCCCTTCCTCCCTCCCCGGTTTTACTATATTTTATTGAATTAGAACTGAATGTCCAAGAGAGTTGCCACTTGCCTCATGATTTTACCTAAATTTAGGTTCACTAAAACACAATTACATATCTCCATGGCTCCTTATTTATTCTAGCTACCTTTGAAATGTCACAAATGGCTAGGGGGTATAGAAATAGATAATGAAGAACATTTCCATTATCATAGAAATTTATAAAGGACAATGTTGGTCTAAATTTAATAAGATTAGAAAATCTGCCCATTCCTAAGAAGTGAATGCTGCTAAACATGTGTATAAAATGCATTATCAATTATATTGCTACATATGAAACAGTACATTAAAATGAACTTCCCAGAACGGATGAAGTTCATTTTTTTCAAGGTGAGAACTATCTTCAGGTGGCTTGAAAACTTTTAATTCTTTTAGTTTCAAATGCCTAGTATAATGTTTAACATAATAAGTGCTCAGTATTTGTTTACTGAATTAAATAGTATTTTTACTTTAAACTTGATCCCCTGCTAGGGTGCAAATTTCTTGGTTCATAGACATAAATGTTTGTCTTAGATTTAATTTATATCCATAAGCCAACTGAATCACTGAGAAATAAGTAATTCTATTTTTCTGATTTCATAACCTTCCAAAATGAGGAGAGTCACAATCAGGTGGAAAATTTCATATGAAGATGAAATAAATAGCAGTTATAGATGTATATAATATTTGGCAGGTGATATGGGATAATAAAATATTAATTTCCGTTTCCCTTTCACCTTTTCTTCAACAATGAGAGTAACTCAGAGTTGTGTTACTAAAACTAAATCTACAAAAATTAAAATTAATCCAAGTATACACATCAGTCAGGTGAAGTAATCAGTGATAAATAAGCATCACAGTAAGAATGAATGAAAAGTTACTTGAACAAGCTGGGTGTTGATTCAATCAGTATAGAAAGTAAATCAATGGCTTGGCCCTTGTGCACAACAAAACAGAAACAATGCCACCAGCAAATCCCAGGCTCTTAATCAGAGTGTGAAGTAGCATTATTGATTTGGTAGTTAAGATTTTCCCTAATAAATGAGATTGTTCTTTACACAGATTCTCCTCCAAATCTTTTGGTATGTAGCCTAAAACCAACTGAAAGAGTGATTCTCATTTAAATTTAGATTTTATGATTTCACACCCTGTTCTTCATGTTTTGAAGTTATTAGAAGATGTGGAATTGTCAAAGAAGTCTCAAACTGCTTTCAAAGTAGCTTAAAAAAATAGCCACCATACATTGGCGTTTAAATGTATACATCTATCTATCTATCTATCTATCTATCTATCTATCTATCTATCTATCTATCTATCTATCTATCTATCTACTGCTTGGGAGCCATTGAGTTAAGATAAAATAAAGTTGTGTGAAACCATTTTAGTAAAGAACTATAAATAACATAAAGGCAGGCAATCGATGATTAAATACATTTTAAAAATAGATTTATATGCTCTTTATACAAGTAGGCCCTGGGGGATTTTAGAAAACAAAATTACCTTGACTTGTTCAAGCTTTTCTTTTAGCTGTTGCTCATTTCCAAGTTCAAGTGGAATACTAGTAATGTTATCGGCTTCTTCCAACCATAAAACAAATTCATTTAAATCTCTTTGAAATTCTGACAAGATATTCTTTTGTTCTTCTAGCCTGAAGAAAGAAGAATAAAATTGTTTTAAATGACATATTTCTCAAACTTTCATTTTTATTAAACCAAAAAGACACAGAAAGCATTTTTTTAAAAATCTAAAATATGTTAACATAACAGAAGTAATTTTCAGAAAATTCACTTGCTTTAAACAAAGTCATAATTCTGAAATGCCAGAGTTTCAAAAAAAGAGTTGGTTTGAAGATTCTAACGTTATGTCATAATATATACTTTGTTACGAAGTGATGTTGTTAACGTTAGAGCTGGTATTCTCTAGCTACACTATAGACTTTTTTTTTTTTTTCGGTTATGGGGCCTGAACTCTGGGACTGGGCGCTGTCCCTCAGCTCCTCAGCTCAAGGTGAGTGCTCTACCATGTGAGCTACAGCACCACTACTGGCTTTTTCTGCTTATGTGGTACTGAGGAATCGAACCCAGGGCCTCATGCATGCAAGGCAAGCATTCTACCACTGAGCCACCTTCCCAGATTATATATATATCGTGTTTCTTTGTTGTGAATGGCTGGTTTGCTTATGGTAATTTTTTCCAGTCATGGAGCTTGAATGCAGGGTCTGGGTGTTATCCCTGAGGTTTTTCACCCAAAGCTAGTGCTGTACCATTGAGCTACCGCTCCACTTCCGGTGGATCTCAGAGACTTTCCAGCCGGGGCTGGCTTTGGACTGCAATCCTCAGATCTCAGCTTCCACTTGGATTACACTCAGGAGCCACTAGTGTCCAGCCTTACTGTAGATACTTCTAGCCACATTTCTGGCCTGTACAGTTGCCAGTAGCAACTTCATTTTGCACAAGTTATAAGAATAATTGTACTGATAGATTACCTAGTAGCCTACGCATGAGGGTGGCAAAATTGTCCCTGCTTGGAAACTATTACAGTAGCTAAGTATATAACATGAAAATTTATGTTTAGAAATGTTTAATTAAAACAAACTTTATAGAAAATTAAAGGAAAAAGTAAAAACAAGATTTTAAAATAAAAACACTAAATGATCACATGTGAAAATCTCTTCCAAATTATGACTCACAATCTATTTGAAGAAAGACAAAGTGATTTATAATACCTAACATATGTTGGTCTAGTGGAAGTTTTTAATTATAAAAATGCATATACTGTATAGTATTCAATTAGTCATAAATCTATTCTTAAATGTTGGATAAGAAGATTTACAGCTAAACAAAATGGTTTTCACTTAAAATAATTTACTTTTTATTTTCTTGTCTTTTGGGAGCTGTATATCTGTTCTATGTAAGCTTTTAATTGAAGCATAATAAACATCTAGGAAATTGAACATATAAATGAACACTTAATGAAATTTTAAATATTTCACGTACAATGTGACTAGAGAAAGATGCACAATATTATCAGAAATCTCCTCTTGATTCCTTACATTCACTACCTTCAGTCAACTTTGTTTATAAGCTAATGGAACTATATGGTATGTGTTCTTTTGTGTCTTGTTTCTTTCACAAAATAAGCATGCTGTATATCATTTTGATTTGTTCATTCTCCTGGATGTAGAATATTCAATAGTTTAAATATATCACTATTGATAAATCTTTTTAAATTTCTGTATTTTAGCTGAGAACTGTAATTGCTTCAAGTGAACAAATGTTTATTAGGATCATCCTATTTTCTGAGAAATCTGCAGGGCCTTACAATCAAAGATGGGTGCACTACATATCTTGCTTTGAGAATTTCAGTACACACAAACAACTTTGAAAACAAAGAATTGTGATTAGTATAAGAAGAAAACTTATTTTGGGGGCAGGGCTTGAAAGACATGCCAGAGAATATAGGGAGTCTGAGTCTTGACATCTGAAGAGATATCTCTGGGTTACAGAAATAAAACACAGCGTGTTCAAAACAAAACTTCGCAAGAGCTAAATTATCCCTACTCACCATAACAAAATCTAGTTATTGGACTTCATTCATATTCAGTTTTGCTATTTGTTGAGAACATGTTCAAAAACTACTCTGTAATGTGATATTCTCTCCTCTGTCTATTTTCAACACAGGACTAAGAGCTTTTCTTTGAAAACTCATGTCAGATTTAAGTCACATATACGCAAAGACTTCCATTACCTCTCAAGTCAGTAAAAGCAAAAACCCCAACACACTTAGTACATTATAACTTTCTATGAGGATCTAGATATGTGCTTTCTACTATAGTATCACTATCATGTGTGACTACTGAGCACTTGCAGTGTAGCTGGTATGAACTGGAATGAGCTCAACTGTAAAATACACACTAAAGGGAGCATGATCTTTGTACCTTCTGTCCAACTTTACTGGGAACCCTAAAGTGCTGTAAAAAATGAAGACTACTTTTTAAACATTTCAATGAATGCAGAATGTTTAAAGTGAGAATCTCCTACTTATCATACATAGGTTGAAAGGAGAATATTGATAATATTGTTATGTAATGCATTAAACAAATATACTAAAATTAATTTTACCTGTGCCTTTTTTAAAACATGGCACCTGGAACAATTTCAATTATGAATGTGGGTCAACTGGTTTGGGCACTAAACAGAACATATAAGATCTGATGGTCATCAAAAAAATGCGATATATATTTCTCTCTCTCTCTCTCTCTCTCTATATATATATATATATGTATGTATGTATGTATTCTATGCCTCTATCACAAAGAACGACACAACCCCATTTGTTAGGAAATGGAAAGACTTGGAAAAAATTATATTAAGTGAAGTAAGCCAGGCCCAAAGAAACAGGTCCCATGGTTTCCCTTATTTGCAATAACTAGTATACATCTAGGATAATCTTACAAAGTAGACAAGTAGAAAAGGTCAAAAGCTATGCACATATGACTATGTAAGATGATGCTAAGAGAAATGAATCCCAAGATAGGAACACAAGAGGTTTTATCTTTCTTGCTGTTGTTTCTAATTTACTTAAAATGCACTATGTAATTTTTTGCTTCTTTTGTATGTTCTTCCCCCATGGTATAACCACTGTTTTCACTGTATTTGATGTCGGTGCACTGCATCTTGTATATACATTTTTCTAATTTGGGGAGGGGAAGGGAAATAACAAAATGCTGAAATAAGGATACAGGTTGACCTATGGTAACAATGAGATGTACAAGACACTATGTTGAAAACAAACTTTACAGCTTGGGGGCAGGGAAAAGTTGAGGAGGTGGAAAGGGAAAGGATAGTAAGGGAAAAAGAAAGGAGTGGGTTACAGTGCTCGATAGGAAATGTACTCTAGACGTGTAACTGTAACCCCTCTTTACAGTATCTTTAAAATAATATATATTAAAAAAATAAAAAAAGATCTGCGGATCTCCTCTCTTCTGACATCTCATTCTCATTTTTAACTTCTTTTGTCTGTGTGTTTTGAGAACCACTAGCCTCCTTGCCGTGCTCTTTAAATATATTAAATTAAATCCCTAATTCTCAGCTTTTGCCTTGGGATTTTCTTTACATAGAAACTTGTTCCCTAAAATATCAAACCTGGTTAGCCCTTCAAATCCTCCAAGTCTCCCCCCAAACACTTACATTCTTTCTTCTTGTATTTGTATATCTTTTTTGTGGGGGAGGGACATTCTGTTGTGGGGCTTGAGCTAGTGGAGCCCAGCTGTCTATCTTTTTAATTCCTAAAATTCTCACGCTCTTTGACTTGTTGTTGTAATGTAATATCTGTCTTTTACAGATGAAATTAAGCTTCCTGATAGGAAGAATTTGAGTCTCTAATTTATTGCTCTAATATTTGCTCCAGACGTAATGTCTGGTGTAGTATAGCTGAGCAATAAACACACGTTGACTTAATGAATGTGTTCATCATACTTTTCACTCTTGGATGCATTTCTGTTCTTAAACAATCTTTCCAATACTTTGAAATATGAATTATAAAACATGGTTTAATTTACCCTCCTAATGTACACTACAGTATTTCAGTTAAAGACATCCTCAGTCACAGAACATGTTGTATCATTATTTTGGGTACCAGAGAGAAGGAGGGTAGAGGTGGGTGGGGAGTACTGCTTATTAATATGTTACTTACAATTGGATATTTTATTTTACTAGGAGATTTGTTTTAGATTTATTTATATTTTGTGTTAGCCTAACAGTAAAATATATTAAAAATTTGCTAGTCTATTGCTAAATCACCTTCACATTTCAAGTTGGAATATCCTATACCATTTTTCAAAAATTATTTTTATTGGCTTTAAGTAGTTGTACAGAGGGGTTTCATTTCAACAAGTCAGTTTGTGAGGAAACTACAACTTGATCAATGTCTTCTCTTTCATCATTCTCCCTGATCTCTCCCAACCCCACGCATTCCCACAAATTTCCTAGTTCTACTTCACATACATGCACTTCTTCTCTCCATACTTCTACCCTTCACCCTTTGAACATCCCAAGCCAAGAGCAGATTCTTGGCATTTATTTTGTTGAACTGGACCTTTCAGGTGGAGGACATTAAAAACTGGTGCTAGGAGGGCTAATGTTAGCGTTGCTTCTTTATAGACCTTATTGGAAAGCAGCTGGTTCCACTTGTTGGCAGCTTGTTTTAGAATATGGGAGAGCAATGTTTTTCTTTGTTTTCTCCAAGAGGAAATATTCTAAACAAATGTGTTTTATTTGAGCTGATGATGTAGCATTTTTCAAATATTCTAATCTGATTCAATTCCTGAGGTTTAGATTTTAAATATTTGTATGTTCCTTTTTGTAAGTTTTGGTCTATATTACCAGTTGACACTACAACATCTTGTATAGTAGTCTAAATTCTTTATTTAAGGAAAGTTTGCTGAAATATGATGTTTGTAAACTTAAGTAAACTGGCAAGTCTTCTTTCAAGTTTTAGTTTTTATTTACAAATATGCAAGTTTGGGGAAGAGAAGTCCCAGAACTCAAAAGCAAACAAAAACTTTAATGAGCAGAGAAGCACAGTATCAAATTGAAATAAGAACAAGCCCTGATTCTTGAATAAAATTCTAAAAGCAAACATTTCCAC